CAGACTAATAATCAATTAAACCATACCCCAATCCAGGAATGGCCAAACAAGCCAAAAGTAAACAGCCCAACAAAGAATCTCTAAGACCATCCCCACCAACACTGATAGGGCAGGACACTGGAACATAAACTGAGAGCAAACCCCACTCCTTACTAGCACTGATAATGTCTGTGGAGATTCTCAGTCATCCAGCTCATAGTTGTTTCAAAGGTGCTTTTTTCTTCAAAAGACAACTAGACTGTTCTGTTTGTTTATTTGTTTTGAGGAAGAAAAAGACATGTCCAAGATACTGATAATATTAACTAGTTTGAGTAATGAAATATCTGCAAGAAAACAACTAAGCTCAGAGAGCATCAAGGACCTGCTATTATTTCCATTTTAAAAATTATCATGAAAATCTAAATATTGCATTCTTATGGAATTCTGGTCTATATGCTCCATGTACCTGTGGATGATGTCCTCTAGTTTATTGTAAGCATATATGAAAGTAGGATCCAGAAGTTAATGATACCTGCATGATATATTCAAATGAATAATAATAATAATAATAATAATAATAATAATAATAATAATAATAGTAATAATAATAATAATAAAAGAGACTTCCAGTTTGCCATTGCGGCCACTGGAAGGTGAGCTCCATCTTCTGTGTTCGGTTTCGCACCACTGGGGAACCCTGGAAAGGGTCCAAAGTCACCCTGTAGGGGTGACCAGCAAGGAGGGGATCCCCGCTTGATCATGAGAGGGCATTAGCTCTTCTGCTTGATCTGGGGCAGCCCTCCAAACTGGCAGACGAAAGACCAGCCATAGAAATATGGCTCATCGCTAGGCTGCAGACAGCCAAAGTCAAACTTACCACCAGGCACTGCAAAGTAGTGCAGATGAGACTGGGTGAGATCTGAACCTCTCTTTAATCCCCAGTATTTTTTTCTCCTGCAAAAGCTACCCAAAGTATCTTCCCCCCTGTGAGGAGAGAGGGAAGGGAACTTTTATCCCACCCTCTAACAATAGCGACAACTGACTATCCAGGGGAGTTAAGAATAACTTTAATCTAACTGGATCTATATGCTTCTAAAATTTGGGGACCAAAAGATTTCTTACCTTTATTGAAGACCTTGGTTTTTACTTACAAAAAAAGAAATAAAATTGGAAAAAGGATAATAAAATGTTTGGATTTAAAAAACCTTAAATGTTGATATTACAACTTGTTATTGTCTAAAGGAAATTTGGCTGGAAGCTCAGACTACAGATAAGACTTTTTTAACCTTGACAATTATCAGCTGTGAGAAGCTCAGCTGTGTTCTATACTCAGTTATAAAGTTATTTTCTTTCTCTGACTTTAAAGCTCTAAATTTAACACACTACTAAAAGAATAATAATAAAAGAACTAGATGTGCTTTTGAAGAAAAACTGTGCAATTTACTGAATATATGGGGTCCAGAGAGGGAGAAAGAATATTCTGTTAAATTATAGATGGATCAAGATGAGAGAATATTGAAAAAATATTTGGGCCATTTGGAGGCCCAAGAGTGAATAAGAACAGTAATTGTTTGGTGAGCATTTGCTTAGAAAAAGGACTATTTGTTCCAAATATATAATTGGAGTATTAATTTATTCATAAGTTCAAACATTAAAGGAAGCAAAACTTGAGAATGTAAGAGCTTTGAATGCGGGGCAAATCAAGTTTGGGTAGTAGAAAGAGTGGATTTGGGCAGCAGTGATATAGAAGGAAGGAAAAAACTGAAAGAAATTAGAGTAAAATATAACCACCACCAAAATAGAAAATAGGAACAGCATAAAAAATAGATTAATTGCTCAACAGAATGAATGGAAAGTGGATGTATGGAAAGAGGTTAGGGAAACTGCTTGTACCAAATTGAAATAATTATGCACAGAAGTGTGCAGAGTTGCACTCATGGAAAGTATGAAATCTGACATTTGTAGAACACAGAAATGAAAAAGGCTCTGGATAATGCATGTAAGAAAGCGACTGCTCTAAAAATGAAAAAGAGAGAAAGGTATTTTGTAATGCTTATACAGAAAAAAAGATAGCCACAAAAAATGTAACCAAAGATAGCAAGGAACAGTTAAAAAAACAAAGGAAATGCAAACTGATTTTTGACTGAAATATTTTTTTCTTTTGTATTTTCTTTTTTTTTAATTCAATAAAGTTCTCTGGGGGGAGGGAAAGAAAGAAAGCAATTTTTTTTAAGTGGATGAAGTAGGTTAAACAAGAGAGCTAAACTATTCTCTCTAAAAGAAAGAAGTGAGAAGTGATATATAGGGATATTTGTAAGGATGATTTGCAGGGATAGAAAAGCATGAAAAAGCATTGTGAATGGGGTTGGTAGGAACAATACTTACCAATGTTTTCTTGCCTTTTTTTATATTGTGTATTTCATGTCCTTGTTTTGCTATTTCTTATTCCATGTCTTCATTGTAAATGCCACTGTTCACGTAGAAAAGGGTATGCATGATGGCTACGTATGTAAATCCTTATATCATGCCTGAACTGTTATCTGCATTCAGCTTTCCTTATCTCCAGAAGACAATCCTGTGTTATACTGAATTAAAGGCATTGCTAGCTTCCATGCAATGAAACACACATTCATGAACACTATGGTGCCAGAGATTATACCCCTAATCCTTTTGCATACTGGTGAGATTAACTCTGTAACAATTGCATTGCCAGACTTGTATATATTTCAGATATGTAGTATCTTTACTCAGAAGACTTTGGTTCTTGGTAACAGAGAACAGGTAATGGCAGAGAAAATTCAATGCTTGACATTGAATCTCTATTATGAAAATTTGGGTGTTAGAAGCTTGCCTCTTTTTTCATCTGGGAAAGAAACTGTAGGTATTTCCACAATGGGATGTCTGAAAAAGTCACCGTGGTGGCCACAACTGTATAATTTGGAAGTGCCATCTTGTTTTTTTTGACACACATCTGCAGATGGCACTTCCAAATTATACAGTTGTGGCCACCATTATGATTTTATTGGAAATAACTAAGTTTTCTGTAGGTATTTTGATCTCTCTGCAAACCTATGCAAACAGAAAATTGTTAATCTTTAAAATGGGGTAAGATGGTTTTTCCTGATTTGTTTGTGGTCAGGGAATTTATGCATTTCTACTGGTAGTTTCAAAGATTTTTTTCCCATTTGGTAGCAAAATATAGCTGTTAGTGTAAGTCATCTTTTATTATGATATATTTGAAACCAAATCTTCTTTGTTTAAAGTTGTTGAGAATTTGAAATCAATAAAACATTTGTGTAAAATCAGGCAGAGTTTGTATAGGTGACTAAATCCATCAGTCTAGCTATATGACAAAATCGCTTCTATCCCAGCCCCTACCCAATCCATGTCAAGGAAAGTGATTGGTAATATATTCTACAAGCTGCTGACATTTATTGGGATAGAAGTGAAAGAAAATCAGGGAAATCTATCTTAATGTGGATAAATAGAGATAGTACCATTTATTGTTATTATATCTTAGCATAATAGGATTGCCAGAAGAGAGTAGCAAATTTTATACCATAACAGGTTTTGCCAGCTCCAGGACTTGTGAATAGCACATTGAATTTGGTCATGAGGAAGATCATTGTGTATCAAACAGTGCACTGTAGGAAATCCTGATCTAATGTAGCACACGGACCACAGGTTCACATAGTGAATATATAACTGTGTTAGCTGACTGTGTTCAGCAGGTCAGCAGTTCAAATCTCACCGGCTCAAGGTTGACTCAGCCTTCCATCCTTCCGAGGTAGGTAAAATGAGGACCCAGATTGTTGGGGGCAATGTAAATATATATATATATATACATTGCTTACTGGTGTACACCGCTTAGAGAGTGCTTGCACTTAAAGCGGTATATAAGTCTCATAAATAAATAAATAAATAACTGTTCTATAGTATAATTTGGAAGTGTTCTATAGTATAATCAGGTAGGCTCACAATGTGAATATTCCTTCTAATGACTTGTTTATTTATTTACTAGGATTTATATGACATTCCAATTGAAACTGATTCTGAGTGCCTTATAGAACATTACAGTACTGAAATAGGATTAAAATACAATAATAATCCAAAACATAACATAACCAAGACAAAAATATTCCTTATTATAAACTCAATAATCTATTTTTAGCAGTGATTTAATAATTCCCATCATCTTGAAAAGCCCTCCAGAACTGCAAGATCTTAGCCACTGTGTGGGACACAAGCAAGAATGGGCTGCCTTGATCTCTGCATATATGCTATTCTGAAGAAGGGATCTGCCCAGGAAAAGATTCATCCTTGGGGTATCTGGTAACAGGTCTCCCAAGGGTTCAGGACCCATGACAAGCTTTTCTTGCTAGATCTAACTAGACAAGAAGGTTCTACCTGGAGAAGATGGTCTTGGAAATACCCAGGTCCTAAGCCATGAAAAATTACAACAGTGGGATTAACAAAATATTAATGTCACAAGGGCAAGCCAAACTGAATCTGGTACTAATCACATTGCTGCAATCTGGGCCAACTGTAAATTACAAATGGTATCAAGGGCTGCCCAGTATAAAATGAATTGCAGTAATCCATGGATTACAAGAGATGACAAAAGCATTTTTTCTATGTTCTTTTACTACCAACTACTCTTAATGACTGTATAGAGTAATAATATGCTATCATTTTAATTTTTTTTTTAAAAAAATCTATTTGTCTTCATTTACATTTACATTTTAATTACTTTGAAATTTTGAGTACAAATGTAAAACTGTTATGTATTAAATGAAATGTAATAAAAGTCCTTAATCTAGAGAGCAGGTTTAAGTAGGGGGCCGCCTTCTTTTAAAAGGACACATAGTCTCCTGGCTTTATATGTTCTGTATACATCAATGGAATTGGTTTACTCTGCAGATGCTTTTGTATCTTGAATATGGGTGGGTTTTGATTCACAGACATGCACATAGTGATATGCATATACAAAGCTTGTTTTGAAAACATGTTTTTCTTTTCAGATTTTTCGAAGAGCTGACAAGAATGGTAAGTGAATGAATACATGACTGTTTTTTAAGCAATGCCAATTGTTTATACAGTCTTTTGAATAGAATATACGTAGTTCAGGTTTGAACTGTGAAGTATTTGTGCTCTCTGAGCTCAGTTATTTGCTTGCAAAAGTTTTATTACCCAACAAGTGCTATGAGTGTTGCCCCCTATTTCCATAAGTAACTTGCACTGCCAGTATTGGTGGGGTTGGGGTGTGTGTGTTGGTGAGGCTAAGTAATGAAATGTCAGCAAGCAAACATTTAAGCTCAGAGAGCCTCAGGGACTCCACTATACAGCCTTTCCTATTTCGAAGGCTAGAGATGGGCAATCAAGACATCTAATAGAATCCTGGGTTTTCTAGAATATCCTTTTAAAAACAGAATTGAAAAAAAAATTCTACTCCAACTCTCCTCTGAGAAACTCAAGCTGACAGATACAATTCTCCCTCATACCCCAATTTCCTCTCGTCACAAGATTAGGCTGAGAGACAGTAACTGGCTGAAAATGATCCAGAAAATGTAATAACAAGTAGTGCTTGATTTACAATCATAGTTGGGAATGCAACTTTCATCGCTAAGCAATGCAGTCATTAAGTGGCTGCATGACCAAGTTTGTGATCTTGTTGCCGTGGTTGTTAAGTGAATCATGTGGTTATTAAGCAAATCAGGCTTCCCCCATTGACTTTGCTTGTTGGAATCCCTCTAGGACAGTGGTTCTCAACCTTTGGGTCGTGACCCCATTTGGGGTCAAACGACCATTTTATGGGGGTTGCCAAACAACGCGATCCGCCATTTTTCCCTCAGGGGGCAGCGCCGTGCATGCGCACCGTGCATGGGGGCGGCCCGCACATGCGCGCCGCACATGGGGGACAGCCCACGCATGTGCGCCGCAGCCTTATGGCCGGGGTTGCCGTATAAAAAGGTTGAGAATGACTGCTCTAGGAAGGTCATAAATGATGATCACATGAGCCTAGGATGCTACAATTGTTGCAAAGACGAAACACCTGAATTTTGATCACGTGACTATATGGATCAGTGTGAGGACCAGTCATAAGTCACTTTTTTCAGTGCTGTCATAACTATGAACAGTCATTAAACAAATGGTCATAGGACCAGTGCTTTTTTTGTTAAAAAAAAAAAAAAGGTGCCGGAACGTCATACAACCCGCCTTGCCTACCCTAAAAGATTCCATCCCAAAAAGGTGCCGGAATTCCGTTCTGGGTGTTCTATGACAAAAAAAGTCCTGCATAGGACTATCTATAGTTTTATGGGGATTTGAATATTCTTTTTTTCAGATCCCAGATTTACATCCTATACTAAACCTCACAGCTTCCCAAATTTTCTGTTAAGGTTGTCATATATGAAAACTAAGTTTCAATGCTGCCTAAATTTGTTAATAATAAACAAACTCCAGCCTATGGGATGATGTAACATACTTATAGCCTTAGCAGCCTATTTTGCAACCCATGGTGGATTTTTAATTCCTAGATTTTTTTTCATGCATTTCTCCTCTGCTTACCATGATTAATGCTCATATCATATCCCTTATTCATAAAAATATGTTGTCTTGTCTGTCAGTCATTCTTTCTACATCAGTCAATCCATTTATCTTCTGTTGGCATTAGGTTTCTTCTCTAGCCTTTAGATTCCCTATATTTCAATCCCTCTCACTCCTGAGAAATTACTCAGAACTTTATGACTTCTGTGTTGTTTTATTCAAAGTTAGTTTTGATGAAATCTATTTCATAATTCATGTTTGCTTCATTTTAAATATACTTTGCAAGGCTTCTTTTCTAGTTTGTTTCACACAACACTTGTCATGATATTCCCAATTTTTAAATGGAAAACTGAGACCAACCTTATTTAACATGTTCAGGAGTGAATTTTAACTAAGCTTCATGATCCTATACTTTGGACCTCTTTGTTTATTAACTGAAAGTTCCATCTTAAGAAGAAAGCAGACCAAACTCAAGAAAATCAGTAACAAGTACAAGGACCTCAAAATGACACCACATCATGACATCATAAGGCAAATAACACCGCTTCGTATATGTGACATGATGTGTGATCATAAGTACATAAGTCACATGATGGTATCATGATGTACATATCAACATTTGCCCCAACCTGCCTCTCTATAGACACCTCTGGATGCACTGTAATCATCTCTGTCATCAAGATGGATTTTTAAAAAGTAGTGTTTACACCGATTTTATACATTTTTTATTTTATTTTTGCACCTGCCCACTTAGCAGTTCGAAAGTAAGAAATGTGAGTAGATAAGTAGGTGCCACTTTGGTGGGAAGGTAACAGCGTTCTGTACACCTTTGTTGTATAGCCACATGACCACAGAAAATGTCTTTGGACAACACTGGCTCCCTTGGCCAAGAAATGGAGATGACCGCTACATTCTAGAGTTGGACATGACAGGACAGGGAAGCCTTCATCTTTTTTTTCCCCCTCACAATTTACTCAAGGTTATTGTGTTGAATGTTAAAACTGAATAGTGATATGGATCTGACGTTGATACACTTGTAAATGTAATTTACCACAGATTATTTACAATATTTATTTTAAAAGTTTTATGTTTGTGTAGCTAATAGTTTTAACTTTACAAATGGTTTTAATGATTTTTTTTCAGGTTTTATATTTTTAAAAAATATAAAGACAATCCCCAAAACCTGAAAAAAATATCATGACTAATGATCCCTTTTCACACCTATGACTGTTGCAGCATCCCCATGGTCATGTAATTAAAATTTGGATGCTGGGCAAATGGCTCATATTTATGACTGTCATAGTGTCCTGGGGTCGTTTGATCTCCTTTTGTGACTTTCTGACAAGCAAAGTCAATGGGGAAACCAGATTCATTTAACAACTGAGTTACTAAATTAACAACTGCAGTGATTCACTTGACAACTGTGACAAGAAAGGTTATAAAAGGCACTCCATCACTGGAGATTTTTAAGAAGAGGCTAGCTGTGGAATTCTGGGAGTTGAAGTCCACATGCCTTAAAATGGTCAAGGTTGAGAAACACTGGGCTAGACAGTCACTTATCTAAGATGGTATAGTTTCTCCTGCTTGAGCAGGGGGCTGGACTAGAAGAGCTCCAAGGTCCCTTCCAGCTCTATTCTGTTCTAAAATGGGGCAAAACTCTTTTAGCAAATGTCTCATTTAGCAACAGAAATTTTGGGCTCAATTGTGCTCGTGGGTTGAGGAGTATCTGTATTAAAAGAAATCAGATACTGGACTGGTCTTTGCCCTCAGCTTACAGCCGGTCATGATGTGATCTACAGTTTGACGTGAGACCCCTCAGTCACACTGAGCGGAAGATGCTTTGCCCCAATCATTGTTGCTAAACAGAGGCTTATCAATTCTTAGCTGACCTGGGTTTCATAATATTCTCCTGATATAGAATATATTGTATTAATCCATATATAGCATACTAGATAGAAAGGTCATCCTGTTCTCTTTTCAGAAAAATATAATTATTCCACGTCTTTATTTAAATGTAGATGACGGGAAGCTGTCATTTGAAGAGTTTAAGAATTGTTGTGCTGATGGCATCCTCAGCTCTGAGGAACTGTGGAAACTGTTCAGTGATATTGACAGGCATCATTCAGGGTAAGTAATGGATGGATAATCTAGAAGCTTTAAAAATGACATGTGTACTTCACCAAATCCCTTCTTGGAAACAGTCATAGCTTTATAGCAGATCACAGATTTTTCATGCAAAAAGTTCTTGGCTTAATCATTTACATTCCAAGAAGGGTTGCAAAGATACCTATTTGAAATTCTAAAAAGCATCTACCATTCACAAAAAAGGAAAGAGGATATAAATTTTGTGGATAGAATTTTTCCCTGGTTTGATTTCAGTTGCTAGAAGGATCCTTAAACAAACAATGGAATGTAGTTAGCAGAAATACAAGCATTTTACGATGAGCTGGATGATTTTGCATTTCATGTTTCACACAATGTTTTCATTGTATTTTAGTTGGTGTAGTCTTATTTCATCCTTTTTTTTCAATTTCAAAATACAGTATATATTCACCAAAATGTGCTGAAGAAACTGCTTTTGTTACACTCAGGTTTATGCTCAATGACCTTCTCTTTCCATCAGATTTATAATGGCACAATTTAATAATTCAGTAAACTTGTAATACATTTTGTCTAAAAAATGTGTATGGCTGCTTTATGTGAAAACAGAAGCACTACTGTTTTTGAGGAAGGTGGACCTGGAATTTAATGCTGCTTTAAGAATAGTCCAGGCTGATCATAAGTAAAATAGCCTGTTAACTTCACAGCAGTATGCCTGAATTTCATGAATCAAAATCAGATTTGCTATTTTTGTCCAAGGGCATATTAAAATAATATGTAAATTATCTATGGGATATGCAAGCAATGTAATTTTACCTATCACAGCTATAGCATAACAAATGAGCTAATCAACTTCAGTATGTCCCATATCACATATGAGGATTTTAAGATAAAATGTATTGCCTAAAACATCTACTGAGTTCACAGCAGAAGTAAGACCTGAATTAAGAACTGTCTAATTCACAATTGCCTAGCCACTTTCCATCAATATATATTTACTTTCATTATAGACAATAATTGAGAAATTTAAAAACATTTTTCTGGCAGATCAAAAGACAGAAAGCAAATTAACCCATCCTAAGAGTTGGGTTTTTTAAAATTGTATTTGGATCCTTCTCAGTGGTGATTGTTTTCTTACAGTATGTCTTGTTTCACCATTTATGTATAATATCTAGTTTTTTATTCTTTTCTGGACAATTTTTCTGTTTTTTTATTTCAGTTTTATTTTGGCAATGTATTCTGATTTTTATCTCTTAAGTTTGATGTTGCCAAGTACACCCAGAAGATCTTTTTGACATATCTCAGAATAAGACTTCAGTCTGAAATCTAGGAAAGCTATTGTCAGTCAGTATAAAATCAACAATACTCAGCCACATAGATCAAAGGCCTGCATTAACAACATCTTATGTTTGCAAGGCCAAATAGAAAATAATATGAGTTTCTGTTGGTTGATTATATGTAACAATTAGCAATGCAGGTGTTCACCTAGGTAGCCTGTATGCAAATCCTCCTTAAATGACTGAGTATGTTTAATGGACAGGAGGGGGGAAAGGAACAGAGTCTCATCTTCCACCCCAAACTCTATAGAAAGACCATAATTTAGCTTTAACTTGCTATCAGAATTCCCAACAAGTATGGGAATGGAAATTCTGGAAGTTACAATTCTAACTTGGATCCCCTGGAGCAGAGTTCCTGGCAGTGTGTGTGTGTGTGTGTGTGTGTGTGTGTGTGTGTGTGTGTGTGTGTGTGGGGCGAGGGGATCGCTCTGCGTGAGTGGCTGGCAAGTGCATGCATGCACAGTTCCATTTGCATGAGCGGCGTGCATGCCTACCCACCACTCACACAAATGGAGCACACATGCACAAGCTCGCCCTCTGTTCATGCATGTGGGGATGCTCAGGTGCACATACTCACCCACCATTTCCGCAGCCCGGTTGCAAATAGCTCACAGCCCACTAGCGGGTTTCAATCCAGAGGTTGGGGAACCTCTGCCCTGGAGGAAAGCAAATTGACTGCAGCTTGTATATTACAATATACAATATAAATGTTTTACATGCAAAGGGCCCTTTGCATGATTTATACTTTTTTAGTATAAAACTCCTTGTGGAGTTTCCTTGTTTGTACAAGTAAAGGCTCTTTGCATAAACTACAATTCACATGTGAAAATTAGGTTTCTTTTTTTATTTGTACCCTTCCTTTATTATTTTTACAAATCATTCAAGGTAGCAAACATATCCAAAATATCTTCGTCTTCCTATTTTTCCCACAATAACAACCTTGTGAGGTGGGTTGAGCTGGCCCAAAATCATCTAGTTAGTTCTTTTGGCTAAGGTAGGATTTGAACTCACGGTCTTTCACTTTCTAGCTGGTGTCTTAATCACTACACCAAACTGATTCTGTGGTTGCAGTTGTGATGGTTTTCTCAATTCACTTCTCCTTTTTGAAGATGTGCTATGTGCAGTTACTTTTAAGGAACTATAGTGCACATATCCTAAGGATCCAGAGCCTACTGCAACTGTCATATTCTGTATCCAAAGAGTGGAAGATATAGCTATACAGTTATTGCATTTGGCAATCTCTGGGCAAATTAAAGTAAGACGTTAGTTTAGATAACATTCAAAGGCCAACTGAATCTTATAACTATTGTAACTGATATACTGCATTTTGACTGATCTCTGCTCGATATCAGCTTTTGGCACCTGATACTAAAAAAGCTGCTGATACATTAGATGCCAGAAGCCAATCATGTATACATATTGAATAAATGAGGGCCGAAGCTACCACAAATAAAAAGAGATGAGTTATATGACTGAATTGTAAATGATCACAACTTGTTGTCTGTCATAAAAAAAGCATATCATTAGAAGACATACACATTATTTAGACCAGTCTTATAATCCAATGCAATTGAATGCTGGAAGCTTTGATACAACATTCTTGATAAGTGATTATGCATTTTCTGCTTAAAAATTTCTAGTACACTCTAACCTCCACAAATGTCCGGTACACTATATCTTCCTCTGTCCATTTTATAACTTAAACAAGGAATCCATTTCATTGTCTGTTATTTCATATAGTTCATGTGAAACTTCTCTCATATTAGCCTTGATAAATGCACCAATTTTCATGCTGATATAAATAAGATATTTACTAAGAAAACAGCACTGCTTTAGCAAGTCATTCTAGTACTGTGAATGCATCTGCATTTAGAACGAAGCCAGCCTTTATTTTAACCAATGTTTAGGAGAGTTAAAAAATACTTTAGCATTTCACATAGGCTTCCATCAGAAGCCACAGGCTCTGGTTTCTGAGTCACAATCAAGTGAGCAGGCAATATTCATGTCAGTGCAACACATTCACATGCCTGCAAAGTGGTAAATAAGAAGTGCTCCGATAAATCACTTCTTGCAGTAATTTGTACCTCTGCAAAAGGTACACAACTGTATGCCTCATATTGGAAGAGAGCAAACCTGTACTGCATAAAGCAGGTGATCATCATCAATAAAGGAAGAAAAGGGAAGAAGGATGCCCAAGGCAGCAAAACAGTAGCCACTTTTGGAGGGAGAAAAAATTATTTACATAATTAATAAAGAAACAGTCAAGCTCTCAAGAAGGGCATTGCCTTGTCTTGTATCCTCCTCTCTTTTCCTTTTTTCCCCTCTGCTGTTTGTTTGGTTTGGTTCATTTATGATTGTATGTATTACCAACCACCATCATTTCAAAACAAAAGCAGTTGCTGTACCAAATTTACATCTCATACTAGTGTAACAGTTCATAGCCCATTAGTTTAATTATATGGCAATTTCCTCATTTTTTAGTATTGAAACAAAGTGAAAAACCATGCCTTCTCACTCTTTTTTGCATGGGTGAGATAGATGCTTGCTCTACGCCTACTCCTTCTCATGACCTGTAATAAAATTGTTGGGAATGATGGGGATTTAATCCAACAAGGCTGGAGAGCACAGGTTGATTAGGGCAACGTTTCTCAGCCTTGGCCACTTTAAGACATGTGGACTTCAGCTCCTAGAATTCTCCAGCTGTCCATGCACTTTGGGGGATTCTGCGAGTTGCCAAGGTTGAGAAAAACTGGTTTAAGATAACCTTAAATATTTTATTCCATTTTATTCCATTATTTTTACAAAAACTCTCAAGCTGCAACTGCACATTTTTGTTTTCTCTGATCCGATTGGTTGTAGATTTTTTAAAAGCTTTCAAAGCCTTCTGTCTGCCAAAAAAAAAAAAGATTTGTATAATTAGCAAAATCAAAGATGTCTCAAATTCAAAGATCTGAAAAATGACAGCCTGACTAGAATAAAAAAGACTGTTTTGAATATCTAAAGAATTTTCCCCCTTCCCCTCTCACATTTACTTATTCATTGGATTTTTAAGGCTGTACAACTTAAAAGATATTTTTTTTATCACTTATCAAAATATCATTGGGTGACACCTCAATAATTAAATCCTGCAGACTTAATACAAAGCTGGCCTAGGATTTGCTGATGTCTCTACATATATCTCCATATAAGTTTCAGGGAAATTCTCAGATTCAGTGTGAATTCAGCCATCTCTCTCCTTGATATGAACCTTACTGGGTTCTATAAAGTAACAACAAGCAGTTTTGTCTCTTAGGTATCTGTTTTTATGGAAAGCCTGTCCACAGAACTGACTTGTGTAACTTTAGTGTCTATACATTGCAAACACTATTTGGAATCAGCCGGCTAGTAGTTACGGCCTTGGGAACAAAAATTGCTAGTACTTCTGAAGAGAGCAGTTGTTTTACTGAACAATCATATAACTAATGCCTACAAAGATAAATGCTTGCAATTTAAGCCTGGAAGGGAAATTCTGCTTTTGGCAACTTTTCTGAGTTGCCTTTATTCAATTCACACCAGAAAATTTATTTATCCTTTCACAGTGAATCATACTACAACTCAGCTGGCAAATAAGAATTAGTAAACACTGCCCATCTCAAGTCAATGTCAAGTAAGGAAAACCATATAATGGATCAGGCTAATATAGTCTTGCAA